TTATGCAGAAAACTAAACTGAACAACTTTTGCCTCAGGGTCTTATCGAAATTCTTCACCAATTTTAAAATAAAAAATATTTGTTTTATTTTTATTGTTTTTAATTTTTTTGGCCCGGCCGGGCAAGTGACCCCGGGCCACTCTGGTAGCGTAGGAATAAACAATAAATTTTAAAAATATTTATTTTTATTTTTATTTATTTATTATTTTTGGTCCGGCCGGGCAAGTGACCCCGGGCCACTCTGGTAGCCTAGCTAAATACAGCAATAATGACCATATGTTATGTTTGGGACCTTTGGGTGGAGGAGGTATTTTGCTATGTAGTACCATAATGCAGAAAAGGTGAAACTTTGGTGCAATTCAGCCGTTGGAATGGTTCATGTTCAATTGATTATGTTTGAAACGGTGCTCAATGGATTCCACTTGTTGCTCCCTTGAGTAAGATATCCGCACACACACACTGCACTTTCCAATTTGTCGATGTGGTGTAGACTGCTATACTCAATAGGCCCATAATGGAGAAGATGAAGCTTCATATCTCTGCACAGTCGTGGAGTGTTCAAGAGTTTTCGGACCTTGACGGATGATCTGCCCTTGTGGGTTCCGCCACGATTTTCGACGTCGTGGACGGAGACGTCTCATCTGTCCGTCGTCGGAGTCGGAGTTAAGCAGCACATCATCAAAACAATTCAGCAAGTTAGCAACCTGATTCCTTTTCTCCTTCGCTCCCATCCACGTTTGTGTTTGTCTATTATGTGTTTTTTGTTTTCTGTTGCTCACATTCTATGACTGCAATCAGTAGCTGCTCTAAGGGCTCCATCTGTGTACACACTACATACGCATTCCCGTTTTGTTGTCCCTGCCACCTTTGCCACTACCTCAATCTTTGTGTGATCTGTTTTTAAATTTTTTGTTTTTGTTTTTTTTGTTTTCTGTTGCTCATATTCTATGACTGCAAGTAGCTGCTCTGCGGGCTTCATCTGTGTACATACGTATTCCCGTTTGGTTGTTCGTGCCACCTTGCCAGTCCCTCAATCTTTGTATGATCTGTGTTTTTTTATCTGGTTGGACAGGAACATTGGCTGAACAGGAATTTGAGAGTGGTTTGGCCTCATCTAAGCCAGGTAAAAACTTGCGTACGCGACAAAATAAACCTTGTGTGTTCGTCTTCCAGACACTTCGTACGCGACAAAATAACCCTTGTGTCTTCTTCTTCCAGACACTTCTTTTACATGCTTCTTCTTCTTCTTCTTCTTCTTCTTCTTCTTCTTCTTCTTTTTCTTTTTCCACTTGCGCAAGTTGAAAGCAGAAGTACAAGCCCGAGAGCACACCAAATGAGAAAATACTGTCTTGAGAAAGAAGCCCACTTCTCGCCTCCAATGATCAATACAACAACAATGTAGTAGCTCTACTATAATGTGTCCCCCTATACTACTCTCCCATTCTCTCTACGCATACCCGTCTACTTTATCACACTCTCTCTCGGTCCACAATCCCCCCGCCACATGATGCTGAATCATTGCTGACGAGTCTGACTGACTTGAGTGCTCACTGGCTGCCAGGTAAGTACCACCAGTCCTCGCTGCTGCCCCAAGTCATTCAGTGTTCTCCCAATCGCCAGCTGTAAAGAAGAATAATTGTGAAAACCCATCATAGCAGTACAGTCTTCGGGTCATAGCTTTTGGCCGAGCCAAAAGGTTTAAAAGTCGGCCCTAAGGCCTCAAGGCAGGTCCTAGAAAGTTCTTAGATCGGTGGGCCTGTGTGAGGCTACAGGCCCAGGCAGGCCCTGGCAAGCCCAACAAGGGGCTGCCTGGTGGACAATATGCCCGGGGCCGAATCCCGAGGCAGCAGAAAAGGGGTGGGCCCTAAGAGAGAGCTGCCTCCGGAAGTTGAGCAGAGGAAGGACCCCAGCTTCTGTGACTAAACTGTAGGCCTGGCCTTATTGCTAGTTACAGAGGCTGGGCCCCAGACCCAGTCCCGTAGGCAGTAGGGACTGCCTTCCAGGACCCACAACGTGTCCTCGAGAAAAGACAAGGGGAGGGAGGCTGCTTGGGAGAGGCACATTTGGGCAATGGCTGCTTGTGCGAGCTCTGCGCTTCAGGCAAAGCTAGAGAGGGAGAAAAGCCAATGTATGGGTGCGATGTGTGGTTGGAACGGCAGAGGAGGAGGAGGAGGAGAATGAATGGCTTGGTCGTATTCCTTATTTGGTTTAGATTTTCTTCTTGTATCTTTCAGAAAATTTGGGATAGCTTCCAGCAGCGCCACCCAAGGAACGTTCCAATATTGGACCATATCAGGGGAGCAAGGGTGCACATTGCAATATTTAGTGACCATCTTCTGGCAGGTTGAAGGATGATGGGCATGCATTATCATCATCATCATCATCCTCAAATCAAGACGGTTTCTGTTCTTCATCACCATTTATTACTACTCATCCTCTGCATCCGTCTCCTTTTTGCTCCCTCGCACAGTCGTCCTCTTCAAGTATAGCTGCCCCAATGTTCACCGTTCACTCTAACAGTCCTCTTTCAAGTATAGCTGCCTTAATCTTGACCCTTCAGTCCTCTTTTAAACCAGTACTTCCTAAAGTTGTGCCCGTATACAAACCACGATTTTAGGAAATGTACAGGCCACTAAAGGAGCGCCCAAATTCATCTGGCTAGAAGTGTTTCTACGGTAACCATAGAGTTGTGGCGCACTGCTACGGTGCGCAGTGCGGCGCGGGGTGCTGTGCGCCATGTGCGAGAGAGTGGTGCATCTGCGCGTGCATGAGAAAAAAAAACAAAAAAACAAAAACGTGCATGTGTGTGTGTGTGTGTGAGAGAGAGAGAGAGAAAGAGAGAGACAGAGAGAGAGAGAGAGAGAGAGAGAGACAACCGCCAATCCACGAACAGTAACCGTTGTAGGCACCCTCATCATGACTGTATCTTACCCAAATCGTCACCTGCATACATTGGAGTCTATGCAGGTTACAATTTGGGCCAGATACGGTAATGATGAGGATGCCTACGAGACGTGAAGTGGCCGTTCTCTCTCTCTCTCTCTCTTCTCTCTCTCTCTCTCTCTCTCTCTCTGTGTGTGTGTGTGGGTGTGGGTGTGGGTGTAATAATGATGATGGTGTGTTGCGATCAGGTGTCAGATTGTGTGTGGGTATCAGATTCTCCAATATTCATGGGAGAACATGAGCCGCTCTCTTGTGCTTTTGTTTTTTGTTTTTCCCCATTTGTTTTTTTGTTTTTCCATAAAAGTTGATAAAAATCCAGCGTGAAAATTTCTCCTTCCCCCTCCTTAGGGCAGGGTGTTCCATGACCTCTTGCAGTTTTTTTTTTGTTGGGGGGGGGGGCGGAACCCCTTTTTTTTTTTTTCGGGTGCGTTGCGCGAGGTGCGCCAGACGTGCGCTGAGGCGCGCACCTCAATGCGCGGCAAGTATGGTTTCTACTCTATTTTTTGGCGCGGCCGATAGCGGAGCCAAGTACTGGTGGTATAGCTGCTCCAGTGTTGACCCTTCACACTGTCTGCCCAACTATCATCACCATCATCATCATAGTCATGTCATTGTTTGTCATTGTCCTCGTTCTCGGTATTGTTAGCAAGCTCTGTTGGGACACCCACGAACTGTTGAAATACAGACCCAAGTTCAGATCCAGTTGCAATCAGATGAACAGAGTAAAATTATTCTGAATTACCTGGGGCCAGTCAGTTACCGTGCAGCTGTTAAATGGACATAACAAAAGATGAAGAACTGCAAACTGTTGAAATGCAGACCCGAGTTCGAATCAGGATGGAACTAGATGAATGAAATCAAATACGGCACTTTTCTGAATTACCTGGGGTCGGTCAGCTCGGCAATGATATCACAAGGCTGGCTAGAAGATGGAGAGAATAGGGAAGAAGCCGTAGGGTAGAAAGGGGAAGTAGTAGGTGCTCACGATGCTGTGTGCCCATCTGTGGTCGGGTGGTTGATCGATTGATTGATGACATACAGATTGCAGGGAAACAAATTGCTGGCTAGCTTTTGGTACATGAGGTTTTTGGTATAGGAGAAGGGGGAAAGGAGGTGTTTACTGGGCAGTGGTTTGGCCAGGAAGGAGCCTGATTTATGAGCATATCAGAGCGGGGAAAGAACTCTTCAAGGGGGAGAGCACTCCCCAAGCATGCAATTCATTTTCATGGAGAGACCTCTTCCTCATGCTACACCTCCTCATCAGGTGCACACTAGTATATACTGAAGTTTTCCACTCTCGTATGGGCAGGCTGCGTCAGCACTCGTCAAGAATACGTTGCAAGGCGCACTCAATGATTATCGGATCGAGTTCATCAAGAGCGTTGAGGTGACGACCGTCAGCCTTGGAACCGTTGCCCCCGACTTGAGAGGTAAAAAACTAAACAGCTACGCACACAATCTGAATTTTTCTTTTTTTTGTTTTGCAAGGTCAAACTTCAAACTTCAAACTTCAAACTCATGCTCGTCAGGGATTAGCCGAAGCCAGGTAATGGCCCTGGTATCTCAAATCATTTCTC